CATATATGGTGTCAATGGTGGTACTGTTTAATGTATGTTGTCTGCATCTGCTCTGACCAGGATGCGTCAGTGACTCGGTCAGTTCTAACACTGTTCTGTCTCTCAGATCCGTAACGGCAGTACAGCAGACTCATCACTGATTGGTCGGTTCTGTGGCAGCACCCTGCCGAGCCCCATCTTCCCACAATCCAACCTGCTTTACTTACGCTTCAAGAGCGACTTTTCCGTCACACGAAATGGCTTTGAGGCCACATGGACGTCCTCTCCTCAAGGTCAGAACTGAACTGTTTGTAGAATTGAATATAAAATTCATCAGACATCGTGTTTTTAGTCCAAGCATGCAGGTGTGATGAACAGACTTCAGTCAGCGTGAACCTGGTGCAGTAACAAGGCTGTCTAGAGGCAGATGGTGACAACAGGGTGTGTTACTACCACACCTCCAATGCAGAGTTCAAAGTCCTGCTTTGTGCTTTTATGTCAGTGAACACACACATCACTTTCTTCTACACTTTTTTTTTTCACATTTCATTTATTGTCACATTTGCATACGACCACAACATCCTGTACTCTGAGCTGTTTCATGGTCAGAACTTTTGTTCAGGTGAACTTTCTGTAGTGTTCTCATGGTTATTACTGCATCTGATAATATTTCTACATACATATGATAATAAGCAACGTCATTGTTCATGTCTTCCAGTTTGTTTATCCTAGCTTAGCTGAAGCGTTTTCCTTCACCATGTTTCTTTCTAGGCTGTGGTGGCACTCTGTATGGAGACCACGGCTCATTCTCAAGTCCCAACTACCCAGGAACCTATCCCAACCATACTCACTGTGAATGGGCCATCAGGGCACCCAGAGGTGATGTGGTGACCATCACCTTTGCCCAGATCAGTATTGATGACCCTGGAGATTGTCAGAATAACTTCTTAAAGCTGTATGATGGCCCAGATGATTCCTCACTGCCAGTTGGACCTTACTGTGGAATGGTATGTGACTCAACACAACAGCCTGCAATCTGCCAGTGAAGTGATCTGTAATCCAACCACAGAGCAGTTTCATGATGGAAATGACCCAGCTCTATATTTATGACATTAACGACCACTCTACCAGAATCAGAGTCCAATGTGGTATGTAACAGTAGTTATGTCGCGTGTTGTAAAGAAGAAGAATCCATTTTCTGTTCGATGCGCCTTGAGCCAGTAGATTAGATGAAACGTGGTGTTTGCTGATAGAGTAACAAACAGCTGACACATTTGAATAATAAATCTGTCCAAAATATTGACCCTAGTGTGATTCCATGTTGGGCTGCAGTTGTCTCGGTGGTTAGCACCGTTAGCGCCTCACAGCTAGAAGGTCGCCAGTTCACGTCCCGGTGAGGACACCCGGGATCTTCCTGCGTGGAGTCTCCATGTTCTCCCCGTGCAGCGTGGGTTCTCTCCGGGTTCTCCGGCTTCCTCCCACAGTCCAGAAACATGCTGAGGTTAATTGGTGATTGTAAATTGTCCGTAGGTGTGAATGTGAGTGTGCTTGGTTGTCTGTCTCTAAGTGTAGCCCTGTGATAGACTGGTTACCTGTCCAGGTGAACCTGCCTTCACCCTGAGTCAGCTGGGATAGGCTCTGCCCCCCATGACCCTGGTGAGGATTAAGGTGTAGAGATGATGGATGGATGGGTGGATGGATGGATGGATGGATGGGTGGATGGATGGATGGATGGATGGATGGATGGATGGATGGATGGATGGATGGATGGATGGATGGACACCATGTTACTGCCTCAGGAGTGTGACGTCGCCAGGCCATCCTCCACACGGCTCTGATAGCATCGATAGCAATGATTGTGTTCAAATGGATGATTAGCCCTGGAAACCAAGCAGACCTGCTTTTTTTGGACAATCTAATTGTCAGCTTGTTAAGGTTGTGGCTCGGAGGTTGTTTTCTATAGTGAAGGGAGTTGTGACAATGGTACCACACAGATAGTGAAGAGGGAGAAGAAAGCAATGAGAATGTGGAGCCAGTGGCGGCTGATATGAGACGCCTGCAGCTGGTGGTTCAGAGTATCATCCTGGTGTCTTCATCTCACAGCTCATTACAGCCAGGGCTAGGCTGAGTGACAAATACATGTGTTTCGATACATTTTTCACGTAGCTGCTTCATAGAACAACTTAATGTGAGCGTGTCCAGCTCGTCCACAGCTCTGGGAGGGTAGCAGGAACTGCACTGGTTCCTGTAATTCTCCTGTGAGGTTTTGAACGTTTCGATGGGCTGATGACGTCTGGATCGGTGAACAGGGAACGTAAACATTTCTCATGTGCTTGCAGTGTGTACATATATGGGACAACTAGTTCACTGACTGTTTCCATTTGTAGCTTAGTCGTGAGAAGTTTTTTCATGTGAGAAGAATATTTTGTCTTGGTTTTAACTGAGGGACAAATATGAGATTCCCCATTTACAGACATGCTGTATTCATTAGAAATAAGCCTTGACACTAATGTTGTGCATTTCCACATATTGTCTTTATTATAACAGTCCACGTGGCAGCTGACGAGTGAGATCATAGACATCCTGTGTTTCTATTTCTGATGGACAGTTTGCAGTTAGCTTCTCATCTCTGTGTTTGTTCAGGAAACCAACATCGCTCCTTTCAGGGCCTCCTCCAACCAGGTCTACATCGTTTTCCAGGCACAGTACTCCACTCTGCCGTCAGGGTTCAGACTCACCTGGAGCAGCTGAAAGACTGTCTTCTTCACACATCGCCTCACACACACACACACACACACACATACACACACACACACACACACACACACGTCATCATTTGCTGTGCGTCCAAACCAATGTCTTTAATAAATCTGTTGTATGTTTAAATAAATACATGATTCAAGAAGTACAACAAGGCTGCTGATTTTACTCTCTCTGGTCAAAATCAATGTACTATTTGAAAGAAAACATCCTTTTCATAGATTAAAATAAAAAAGTATGTGAACAGCTTTTTTTTTTTTTTGCCATCATAGCCATGTAGTGTCTGATGTTAGAAGTTATGAGCTGACCGGTAGGTCTTTGGTGCTGCATCCCAGAACTGACATGTTCACCTGCTTCACTCAAATTCCTCTAGAATATAAAGAATATTCAGAAGGAAATAGATTAAATCTCTGTATTTGCTCATATTCATTTAGTTTTGTATGTTTTTGAAAAAGAAATTCATGGAAGCTTCAAGTAGTTCTACTCAGAGCATCACAGCCAGGTCAGGACAAGGAGGATGCAGATATGGATCATAAAGGCCTTTATTATATATATATATCTATGAAGGAGGACAGGTACTCAACTAAAACCAGGTTTACTTTTGTATTTGTCCAATTCTGAATGTTTGTAACAAAGACATTTGTCAGAACTTCTGGTCAGAAACGACACATAAACCTTCGGTATATAGAAGCATAGAAAGCCAGACAAGATGGAAGACAGCAAAAGACTAGGCTTGAAATGTTGTTAATTAAATAGACACAGACTCAGATACAGGTGGGCAGTAAAGTCAGAAAAGGCTCATTAAACACACATACTTTGGTGCCAGAAGTGGAGTGGAAGAGGAAGGGAGCTGTGGTCACCCGAGCACAAACCAGATGACCTTAGACCAGACTAGCAGCCAGCAGAGGGGCTGTGGCTACGCTGGGACAGGAGACTGAACTACCTGCAACAACACAGACTCAGTGTTAGCAAGGCAATTAACCAGAACTTGGTACCACCAAGGTAGTCCAAGCAAGGCCTGGATCAGTGCAGCAACAAGACACTGGACTCACCACAGTGGCCTGAGTGGACACGCTGGAGTTGTTCAACGGTCGTCTGCGTCGTGTGGCGGTCTGAGCTCAGCTTCTATGGGGAGACATGATAATTTGCAGGTGAGCTGCTCCCCGCTGCAGGTGTCCTCCATCAGGTGGTCATCTGATGAGCTGCAACATGTTCCACACACACCTCACTGCCACGAAGCAGAGCTGGAGCTGAAGGCCTCTGTTAGCGCCTCCGTCTGTAACACCGACCGTCAGCGATGTCACCTCGCCTACGAAGACACCAGAAGGCTTGTCAGTGCCATTTGCCCATTTAAAGTTCTTTTAGTGTTTTCCGGCGAAACCTAATCTCATGGAGCAGCCTAGTGTGATGTTTTACCTTTTAAAAAACTCAGATCACATCAGGTCAGTCACTGACTGTCTTGGAGCAGCAAAGTTTTATTTTACTTTCAACCACAGTTCAGTCTCCCATCACAGCACATGTGCACCTTCCATTCCCACACTGACCACTGCAAAGTTACAAAGCTGTCACATTCTCTCAGTGGAGGCTAAGGGCCTCAACAAGGCTGAAACTATTCAATTCAATTCAATTCAGTTTTATTTGTATAGCGCATATTTACAACAACAGTCATCTCATAGCGCTTCACAAAGGCAGAAACACCCAACAATCCAAACATCTGGATTCTCTATAAGCTTCAGCAGTCTGCTGGTGGGAAGGAACCAAAAACCCCCACAGGGGGAAAAAAACCTCCGACAGAACCAGGCTCAGGGAGGGACGGCCATCTGCCTCCACCGGTTGGGTGGATGTAGGATGAATTCTACCATTTAGTTTACAGTTAAACAAGTTATTAGAAGTTATTGTCCTTTTGTAACAGGAGGCATCATGGTGGGGCAGCAGGATGCAGAAGGTGAGGCCAGCGGCTGTAGTTCAGGAGCTCCAGATCCAGAGACATCCACAGAGAGAGCAGGAACAGGAGAACCTCGGGGGGAGTCACAGAGTTAGTCATATGTAATGGTGATAGGCAACTATAGAAACATATACATACACACATATATATAAAGAGGAGAGGAGAGGAGAGAAGCCCAGTGCATCATGGGAATCCCCCGGCAGTCTAGACCTATAGCAGCATCACTAAGGGACAGCTCAGATGACTCCCAGCAGCCCTAACTATGAGCTTTATCAAACAGGAACGTTTTTAACCTGATCTTAAAGGTAGAGAGGGTGTCCGCCTCCAGAACCCAAACTGGGAGCTGTTTCCATCAGACAGGAGCTGATAGCTGAAGGCTCTGCCTCCCATTCTGCTTCTAGAAACTCTGGGAACCACCAGTAGACCTGCAGTCTGAGAGCGAAGGGCTCTGCTAGGATAATATGGAACAATCAGGTCTTTAAGATACGATGGAGCCTGATCATTAAGACTTTTATATGTTAGAAGCAGGATTTTAAATTGGATCCTTGATTTTACAGGAAGCCAACTACACTGTAAAAAATCCTTTACAGTAGAAACCTGTCCAGTGAAAACTCGATTTCACTGAGCGTCTTTTCTGCACGGGTGGGATGGCGAGACTCTGCTGTTGAGAAGCTTCCTCCTCACTGCTGAATGCTGATAAAATAAGTCCACAGTTTGCTCTTGAAAAACACCTAATATTGCATCATTTCACCATTTGCTGCCGTTGGAGTTGATGTGTGACGGGTCGACGGTAGTGTGTTGGAGATAAATTCATAACTCAGCTGAATAACTTCACTGGGGCTTGGAAATTTGACATTGAGGGGGTTCATATTTCATTGCAAGCTTCACCAAAAACAGGTGTGCCTCCAGGTAACTCAGATGTTGTCAATTAACCAATCAAAAGCCTCCAAAGCCATGACATCATCATCTGGGCTTTCCCAGATAGTCTGAAGGCTTCTTAGTGGATGAACATGAATTTCTGACTTTGAAGAAATTCTTCGAAAATTCTCTCATTATTCTGGCGTTCAGCTGTTAGAGTGCTGCTGGTGTGAATGTGTGTTCTGCCTCTCCTTCGCCCTCCTTTCTGTCTCATTCCCAGGTGCTAATGACCTGATTGGGGTCCATCTGGAAAGCTGGCTTCCACCTGTGGAGTTGGCCAATCAGGGGTGGTGTGTTGCAGCTTAAAACTGCGCCCATGGTCAGATCAGCAGAGTCGCCATCTTGACCGCATGTTGGTTTGTTTGCTGTAAACCTGGAAGTACGTTTGTGTGGTGATGGACTGGGACTTCAGGATACCCTCCATCATTGTTAGACACACCGGGGTTACTGGCTGGTGCCACCCGCGTTTTTATTTCTAAGCTCCATTTGTAGAGAAGTCAGTTGGTCTTTTGATTGGGTTGGTTTTGTGACATCAGAGGAGTTCTTCAGGTCTTGTCTTGTTTTCTTCTTTCCAGCTGTTTGGCACCACCACCTCGTCACATCCTCCAGCCTCTTTGGTGAACCATTGTTGCACATTCTGGTTGAAGCACTGAGAAAATAAAACTCTAATTTTATTTGCACCTCACAGTGACTCCTGCATATCTTCTGGCTGTTGTGTTGCTCTCCTGATTTTAAGAGGGGACATAACATCAGCAAATAGAAATAATGTTGGTAATAAAATCCTAACTGACCGAAAACAGGAAACGTTGAGTCTGATTTAATGTCAGACAGTGAAAATAAAAAGGTTTTATGTCTTTTTATACAGTGGATGCAAACTTCTGGATAAATTAACTTTATTCCTTAAAAACACAACATGAGGGGCGCCCGTATAGCTCACCTGGTTGAGCGGGTGACCCATGAACAGGGGCTACGGTCCCCGACGCAGCGGTTGTGAGTTCGAATCCCGCTCACGACCCTTTGCTGCAGGTCTCTCCCTCACTCTTCTCCCCCCTGTCCTGTCTCTCTCCACTGCTCTACATAAAGGCAAAAGCCCAAAAAAATATATTTAAAAAAAAAACACAACATGATCAGATGGTGACATGAGCTCCGTCTGTGAGGGGATTGGATCTTTTCAGCAGGGCCGATGACAACTGCATACACAGATTTCTGATTTTCATGATCATCTGAAGTTAATGCTTGAAATATTTCACTTGAGTTTTAAAGTATGTAGAACAGACAAATGTTATCTTTTCAAATTAAATTACAAAAAATAATGTTTTCATTATGTTGTGTTTTTTTAATGCACCAGGACTTGTAATGAACACTGAACAGAGAATGAATAACGATTCAAAACACATCGAGTCAAGTGCTGCTAAAAGCAACACAAGAAAACGATGCAAAAGATTCATCACTCCTCATCGATTCACATTTTATTCATTCGCAAAAAGCAAATTCTCAAAAATCATCTCAATGTTTCTGTTGGTTTTAATGCCAACTTTGCATCAAGCTCGCCTTCAAGTAGCATTTGGAGCAGGGCAGGGGCGGATCTAGAGAAATGTTATTGGGGTGGCAGGGCATCTTCTGGGGGTGGCAGAGTCACCCCAAGCCCCCCCCAGTAGATCTGCCCCTGGAGCAGGGATGGGTGGCAGAACATTGGCACAAGAGATGTGATCAGATGGAGGTCACGTGAACGGTGCAGCAGGCCCACTTGGCTGCATACATTTTCCACTCACATGCTGCTTCTCCTCATCCTTGTCAGCCACCAGTTGTTGTTCGAGTGACCTCCATCTCCTGATGTCTGTTGGGGTGCTCTGTAAAATGCAGCTCTCCTATAGAAATGGTGTATAAATGTTTAAGCTCAGTTTGTGCAACAGTTGTTATTTATTGAGTCCATCAGACACGACACAGTGGTCACATCTCAGTCAGTGATAGCTGACCTTTTAAAATCCTGATACAGAGACTTAGGGTGGGTTAGGCTTAGAGTGGGTTAAAGTTAGGCTTAGGGTGGGTTAGAGTGGGTTAGAGTTAGGCTTAGGATGGGTTAGAGTTAGGCTTAGGGTAGGTTAGAGTAAGGCTTAGGGTAGGTTAGACTTAGGCTTAGGGTAGGTTAGAGTTAGGCTTAGGGTAGGTTAGAGTAAGGCTTAGGGTAGGTTAGACTTAGGCTTAGGGTAGGTTAGAGTTAGGCTTAGGGTAGGTTA